ATAATTATCCGATTATCCACTTTTTACCCAGATATATACCAGTACGATTGTACCACTGTTTTAAGATCTTCAAACCAACAAAAAACCTTTACTAAATATAGTTACCTTTCCAAAAGTATTATAAAGCCAGAGATACTATATTTAATTATGGTGACAATTTTTTCCTTGTGTAGGCGGGGAAGGGAATTTTTAGGGGAGTTGTAAGCCGAACAAGAGGCATGCGTGTGGCATAAAGGGGGGACAGCTAAGGAGAGCGGGGAGGATGAAAGGAAGGCAGGGGTAGCTGTTTTGCTATTTTCCTTTTTTTCGTTACTATTTTGCACATTTTTCTATTCAACAATGAAGCCACAATAGAAAACGTCAACTAGTGCACAGAGAGAAAAGATGTGGGGATGGGAAAACTAGAGGGGGCGGGGCTTCGAGGGGCGGCAAAAGAAAGGCAGACAGAGATAGTATTAGATGCAAATGTAATGCAGAAGCGAGAGGGCAACACTTGATGTGCATACAAAGTCTGAACGGATTTTGAATGGCAAACAAGCGGCAAAGCGAACGGCGACTGCGACTGCAGCTGCGGCAGAGCTGCGGCAGCGGCGGGCGCCAAGTATAAAGCCCAGCCCAGGGTAAAGCCAAACCGAGCTAGCCAAGCCGGGTCCGGGAAATAGGTCCGGGAACGGGTACGAGTACGGGTGCGGGTCTGCAGCAGAACAAGCACACTGAAAAACCTTTAAAATATTAAAAAATAACTTATTCATTGAAGCCAGGGAAAACACCATTAAAACTATCCCAAAAAGTAGTTAAACTACTAGTTAAACTAAAAATCTGTTCGATCCTTTAAATATTAAATTTTTTAAGCAATATATTTTTGAAACATTTTCTTTTGTTAATATTATTTATAATTTATTACCTATTTATTGGAAGTTACTTTCTTACTACAATCACATACAACAATATGGAACTTTTTCTGACAATGTAACTTTTAATTATTGGAATAGGTGGCTTGATGTAATAGTATTATTACCTACTTATTAAAAGATATAGATCTAATTAAAATTTTTCTGGCAATGTAACTTTTCAGAACTAAGTCATCTCCAATGAAGCGTTTTAATCTTGATTTTTAATGGCTCTTTTTCGCCCAGTGTGTGACTGGGACAGACCGTGAATGGGCGCTGACGACTTGCGCATGAATGGCCCAAGTGTGCTGCCTGCCGGAGGGGTGGAGGTATAGGGGGATTTTCAGGGGGATATAGGGGGTTGGACAGGGGCTATATAGAGAGCGAGCGGATAGACAGACGAAGGCCTATAGAAAAGTGACGTGCGCTTTACAATTATTTCGTAATGCAAGCAAATGTGACCGAGCCGAGCAGAGTAAAGAGCGAAAAGCGCCAATAGAAGCTCAGTACACTCAAAAAAGAGGGCTTCTGATTAAATTGGGTTGCCCTTGATTGATTAGGCTTTAAAGTGCACCAAAGAAATCTTGATAAGGCTACTGAGAAATTTTTATTACCATGGCTGCGTATTAGTTATATTACAGCTCCATTTCTCAGGAAAAAAATTTCTACAGTTTTGGGAATTTTCGGAATTTTAATATTGAATAAAATAAAAGTCTTAAAGAAAGTTCTTTATTATGTAAGAAATTTGATTTAAACATTATTGTAACATCTACAAACTAGGACTTAAATGTTTAATTCCCAGATAATCTGCTTCAATACTTAGTAATTTGATTAATGTAGGGCTCATATGGTTAGGTAAACCTCATTCCCTTTAATTCCATGCTACTTCAAGGATATGCAAACAGATTTATTTCTCGTAGTGCAGATTAGAGTTGCGTCTTAGGCTCAGGCAGTGGGTGACAAATGTCAGTCGGTGGTTGCTCTACTAATCGGACATGTTGCGCTGACTTGTTTATGACTCTGGGCTTAGCAGACGCACACTAAGCCACTCAACCACCCAACCAACCACCCAACCAACCATCCAACCACCCAGTCACCTCACCAAGAATGAATTGTCTGAGGGGGCGAACTTGTGGGAAATCTGTAAATAGCTGCGAAAAACTGCATAAGCCGGGTTTCCACAACCCAAAGCCTGGGGATCTGGGATAGACAAAGGCAAATGTCATCAAAGTTGGCACCCGCGGGAGAATGAATGCGAGGCCCGAGGAACGTACAACATAAAACAATTGACGAGGGACATCACTGCGTATGCGTAATCTTGTGCAATTTGCTCAGTTGAACTCTTTAAACTGCGTTCAGCTTTCAGCGTTGACTTTGACACTTTCCCAGTATCCCATCCCCTCAATGGTTTTCCATTTCGGGTTTTCTATATGGGTTTTTTTTATTTTTCCATTTTGTTTGAAATTACGCGTCACACAGCTGGACACTGCGAATGCAAAACCAGAGCCTCAGTGCACAGATTTGCAGTGTGGGACAAGGTCGCATTTATTTGGTGCACTTGCAATTGGCCAGAGGTGTGGTTAAGGGGGTTTTTGTAGAGCGGGGGGTTCTGTCACGCTGAGACCGAAGGTCACCTGCAGTGCGCCCCATGCTCACAGACAATGTTGCCAGTGCTGAATTATTATGAAATGAATACAAATATTTGCGGATCAGTCAGGGGCGTCATTCTGCGATTGATGGGTGGGGCCAGGGGGGGTTTCAATGGGTGGCAATGGGGGGAACTGGGTGACAAAGTGGAAACCGAAATGTGATGGATGGTCTCAGCCAAGAAATCGAATGGAAACCCCAAGTTAAACGATAAAATGTTTCTGTTTGTTACATTTGCAATGAACATGATTTGTACACACAAAAGTAATTTTTTAAAGGTCTTTGAACTGGATATCTTATCCAGAAAGTCATAAAATCAAAGAAAGTATAAACATTTTTACATTTTTCTTAAATTTACATTTCGAAGACTGTTAGAAGACATTCGTTTTCCCATTTATAGCCAAATTTTATTTGCTAAATCCAGTGAAGCCATTCTGAGATTTTTATAGCTTAGACAAAATAATCAAGATTACGTTAATATATGTCCTATTTAAATCGAGACATCTTTTTTAAACAAAAAATAATGTTTTTAGGAAATGATATTTATTTTATTTAAATTTTTGTTCATATAAATCTAAAGGCTGATTGCACCTAAAAAGGACTTTCATCGGATAATCACATTTCTGCTTAAAAAATTCCTCTGCCATTTATCAGTTATTTTTTCGTATTGTCTTCACTTTTCCATGAAGATTGATTATTTGCAAAAGGCAGAGGCCTAAATCGAAGCCAAGTGGAGAAACAGGAAAATTCCAAACATTGATTAATGACAAATTGTTTGGCATCGTCTAAGTTGCAAAAAGTTTTGGGTTTCCTGTCGAGTTGCAATTCGAGGCCTATTTTCAACGGGAAAACTGTGGAAAACTGTGCAAAACCCAGGCCGAAACGGTTCTGCAGTGCTGTTACTTTTTGCCCTACCTTGCCTGCACCCAGTGCGCCACCCCATTTTCCCACCCACCCAACTGCCACCCCATTTTCCAGCTGTTGTTGTTGACGCTTCTTCCGTTCTTTGGTTTAGTTTTTCTTTTAGCTTACTTTAGGCTTTTGTTGCCACCGCTGTTGCATTTGTTGCAGCACATTTTATTAACATTTTCATTTAGTTTTTCTCTCTCTTTCGCTCTCTCCCTGCGCCCCGTTTTATTTCGCTTTTCATTGCAATTTGTGTTCCTATGCATTTTTGTGTGTGTTTTACATTCGTTTTCGTGTCGCCAGCAACATTGCCACCAACTGCATTTTCCAGGCGGACCACCACCCACCACCCACTATCCAAACCCTACCGCCCTACCACCCACCGCCCACTGACCCACCACCCCCTCTTAGCCCGGTCCACTTCCCTTTATGCCACTGTTGCGCTCTTTTGCAGTTTGTTGAAGTTTTCATAATCATTGTCGTCGTCGTAGCTGCTTTTCCTACTGCTACTGTATTTCCACCGCCTACTTTCGTTTCGGGCACAGCCTTTGCCTTTTGTTTTCCACACGCTTTCCCCGGGGAAAAGCCTATTTCCAATCGGGCCTCAGTTTGCCAGCTAAGAAGGTTCATAAGTTCATTTTAAGATGCTTTATCGCTTAATTTGCTTTACTTAGAAGTAGTAGAACCTTCCACAGTTTCCTGTTTCATATATTCCTACGTATTTCAAAACATAAATTTTTATTTTTAAATTAAAAATATTTCTGTAAGAAGTCGATGGTAAACCTATAATAATTGAATATATTTAAATTATATTAAACATTTTATTAAATAACTTTTTGAAAGTAGTGTAGATGTAAAATGCGGATCCTATACAATTTTTCTTTCTAGTTTAAAATGGTAAATATACTTAAAGTTAGCTTAGGTTACTGACAAAAAATCGTTAGTAAAATGATAGCAAGTTTCCAAGTAATATTTTATCATAATGAGAAGTGCATCTCAACAGTCTCCTAATTAGGGCCATGTTCCTATCTTCTTTTTTGTTATATAAGCTGGCTGGAAAAATGGGTAAGAAGGGGGGTGGAGGGGAAACAAACGAGACTGGGTGGAAAACCTGGGAGTGAGTGGGTGAGATTTCCAGCATGAAAACAATGCCGGGAAAGCGGCTTATTTTCTATGATTTAAATAATGATGAAGACGGCAGACAACAGGCAGTGGCGGCGGCTACCGCAACTGGAACTGCAAGTGCCACAGCTGATGATGATTGAGATAATGGTAATAATGATGACCAGAGGTGGGGGGGGGGGGTTGGGGATGATGGGCCAACTGGCAGACCTACGACAATGCAATCTAAGCCACCTTCGCCGGAGCCAAAGTAGATGGCTGAGGAAGTGTCCGGACGTTGGAGCTGATAAAAGATCGCTCAGCTCGCCTTCTGTTTGTTTGTTGTCTTTTGGCCAGGCCATAACATTTATCTAATTTTTTTGCTTGTGCCTCGTACATATAGCTAATGCTTCATTTATCTTATACTTCCCTTCTCTTGGCTCTCTTTCGTTGCAGAAAAATGTTCATTGGCGGCCTCAGTTGGCAGACAAGTCCAGGTGAGTGAAAAACGAGTTAAGTGAAAATTAGTGGATCTGTGCTAAAAATTGGCTTGGGTCTGATAAAAGAGGTCAATTAGCAGGAGAGTTAAATGGCAATCCTGCGCTAACAAGGCACCAGGAAATCTGGAAGTCACAAACAAACTTGGAATGGTGGAAAACAACTTCTTAAACGGTCGATTAGTAATGAAGGTGTAAATAAATAAACATGTTTTTCATTTTAATATAGTAGGATCAACTAGATTATTTATTAAATAATATGAGACCTATTTTGCCATGAAGGCATATATTTTAAAACAATTTATTAAATGTATATCAAGTTATAAGCTCATAAAAACTGTCTTTAAGATTTTATGTTTCATAAATAGGGCGATAAAACTTAGATAATAGAAAAGATTTTCAAGCAAGCTAGACAATTTAACTTCTTCTAAAAGAACCATTATTTCAATACTTAGAATGTTATTATGCTGACTCTCTTTTTTGCCGGTCCTTAGATGATACAATCCCAAATTAATTTCCTCTTCTACTCCCCTTTGATTTCTCAACTAAGAAGGGAATTTCTCAACATCTGAAGATGTTTGTACAACGCACATTTGTATGTTACTGAATTTTGTATCTCAATTCGAATGGCCTACGAATTGATTCTGTTTCGGTTTGTGTTTTATGTGATTTCACATCAACAACAATGAAACGAGAGGCGGGGCTTTGTATAAATTGGAAATTGTAATTGATCAAATGCTTGAGATTTGCTCCCTTTTTCGAATTTAAATTTCACGTCAATTGTGGAACGACTTGAGATACGAAAACCGAGATACGAGAACTGCGGGTAGGGGATGCAGATGATTCTCTATCAGATTGCAGTCACCCCCTTTCCACCGCATAGTTTCATTAGGCTAATCAAAAGGCAACTTGCCATCAAAGCTCGGCATGCATATTAACCGAATTTGGATGGCACTCGAAAAAAAGGTCGGCAAAGTAGAGATTGCAACCGTCTGGCAAGATGCGCTTGCCTTTTGGGAGCCCTTATATGTAGTATCTGCAGTGCTCACAAAATATGGAAAGAAAAAAAAAATGGAAACGGGGGGGGAAAGAAAACCCCATATAGCACATATTTGTATATATCGCTGCTTTGTGTTGTTGCTCTCGGGCCCGCTTGTTTTTTGTTTAGCGAAATTGTTGGCTCCGCCCATCATCAGAGTGCCACTCGGCATTACGCTAACATATTATAACCTATAGCGCATATCTATGCACAAACACACTTCTGTATCTACGGCTGTATTCACGTATATAGTTGAAGAGTCAATGCGGTCTTTGGTTTGTCTCTTTATTTTAGCCTTTCTCAATGTTTCCCTCGTGTTTTTTTTTTTTTTGATTTTTTTCGAGGGCGGGCTTGGGGGCGTGCGGGGACCGGTTTCCTGTACCTGTGCCAAAAAATTTTCAAATTTTCAAATGGCTTCTTCAATACGATTGCCCCTTCCCTCGTTTAGTTTTCGGTATGAGTGTGTTTTTGCTCGGCTCTTTTGTTATCTTTTGCCATTTCGGTGTCCGATGTGTGTGTCTTATTTCTTTTTTAATTTTTATTTTCGCTTCTTGGCAGCCGCCAGTTGGCCCCATGGAGCTGGTAAATTAGGCAAAAGCCAAAGGGCCCACAAAAACTCAGCACAGGGCCAAAAACGAATCGCTCCGAGTGTAGAAAAAGTGTCTTTGGTGGAATTCGAGACGGAGCAGAAGTCAATTGGAATGGAAATTGCAGCGAAGGGTCAATGAGTGGCACGTGAGTCGATCAAACAGCATTGCAACGGGCAATATTTAATGGCTTTTAGGTTTTGAGTATAAATTCGGGTTAGTAATAAAACTCTGATTCATACAATTTGTTTATGCCAATCCATTTTTTTATAGAGGTGATAAAACCGGCAATATGACATATTTACGAACCATTTTTGGAGTTAGGTGTACCTAATCCTTAGTTTGTTGTTAAAAAGAATAATATCTTTATTCAACCTTAACAATCATTGAAACATTACCTTTTGTATAACCATTTTAAGTCAATCAGAATGTCTGTTTCTTCAAATATTTACTTTTAATTTGTTTTACAAAACTTTGCTTTTTAAAAACTAACTAAATAGTCCCAAAATAAAGCATCTTTGCCTCGTTTTGTGACTAGAGGAAAGCAAACAATTCAATTAGCTGCCGTTTGAGCGCAGGGAAAGAAGCTTTTTGCCCAAGTCCGAGCTTAGAGATGCTCTGGCCGTCTATTTCTTTCTGGCCCTTTCATCCCACTCCCAACCGCCCAGCTCTTGGGCACTACTAGTTGTATTATTGTTAGCCAAGTTGCAGCTCTGGCGCTGAAGGCAGAGGCCGGAACAGCAGAACACCAGAACGCCCGGCTCAAGTGGCTCCCACTTCCACTCGCGCCAAAAGCTTATGCTTTGGATTTTTCGCAGCTATCGCCACTCGAGCACACAGTCGCATAAACAGCTGCGGTCAGAAAAATAGCTCTAATTTGGAAAAAAAATTAAATAAAAAAAAATTTTTTTTAATAGATTTCATTATAACATCTGTTAATGCCATGATACGGAACCTTAGAACACTAAACAAAGTTGTAGTTCCAAAAAAGTTGTACAATTACAAAATTTTTTTTTTTTTTGGATCATAAGGAGGCATTGATTTGAACTTTGTTATATTTTAGACACAAAATTTTTGACTACCGACTGTATGAGTACTTAATAAAATAAAAATTGGATTATTCACATTTCTCATGGAAGAAATTTTTTGGGTTTTAGAAGGTATTTTTCTAAAAAAATTGTTTATCTATTTAAATTTTTGTATGATTTTATTATTGCTTACAAATGTAAGACTTACAAATTAACTTAGTACAAACATATAGCTACAGATCTGAATAATTATGTTATTGATCTGCAGAACAAAAAAAACTTTATAAAATGTTCGCCATTACATTGTATCCTCAGTTGTTCCCTCATATGCCCAGCGTCTCCTCCCGCACTACAGTACACACTCGAAATTTGCTGACAAAGACCTAATCTAGGGCGTCTATAAACATGCGCTCGGGTCTAGCGAGTAGCGCATAACGTATAACGTATAACGTACAGGGTCTAACGGCATAGTTAGGGCTGCTTTAGACAGGTCGGACTTGCAGGCGGGATATGGGATGTGGGCTATGGGATATGGTATGTGGTATATGGGAGATGAAGCTGAGTCTGAGTCTGAGTCTGCCTACTGCGTACGTGTTGATAACTGCCGAGATGATGATGGCAATGATGAGGGGCAGTGGAATAGAAGCATCCGCATTGCAGTGGGGGCCCCAGAAAGCACTCAGGAGCGTTTGACTCTAGCTGGGCCAAGATTTTTAATGATTGGCACGATTGTCTTAGCTACTTAATGACGTTCTCGAGTGCTGGCAACCGCCCCCGATAGGTGCCGCCTTTGTGATGCTTTCGTGTCAACTAGCAAGTCATATACTCTCGTATAACTTAATGAACTTTGCCGTCTGCAGTCAGCCTCATCAGCCTCCTCAGCCTCCATAGCCTCCCATCCACTTCTCTAGGAAATCAGCCCCGACGACGTAATTTAATTTTAATTTCACAAGCAGTTTGCTGGAAGTAATTGTATGCATTGAAAATGTATTTGCTGCTATCGCCTGGAAACACTCGTCGCCCGATTTCGACTTCGACTTTGGGTCTTTTGGCCTGGGATCGGGCCAGAGTCAGAGTCAAAGAGTTCTCCATTCATTCATCTATATGTGCATACGGATATGTCTGGATGAAAGGCCGTCGCTTGGCTTTTTGTTTGTCTCCGCCTCGTGATTTGTGTCAACTTTAACAACATTTTTGAAACACAATACGCGACCCGCTCCGCGCTTTTGCTATTTTGGATGTGCGTTCAACTGAAATACTATTTATATATGCACCAAAGATACAGATACATTTGCATCTGCAGAACGGTACGGCACACATTACTCATGCAACAAATAACCAAATAAAGCGACGGCAAAAACATCCAGAAAAGTGAATTGATCGGGGGAAAAAAAAAACGAGAAAAGAAAAGAAAACCCAAGTGTAGAAGACAAAAAGCAAGTAGAATCTATGCATGCATATCGCTCACATTTCGATGCCGCTTAGCGATAAAAAGCGGCACCAGACTCTCCCCGAGATACTTTGAGCAAATAAATATGCACTTCTCGATTTACCCCTCGCCGCCTCCTATTATTACTATTATTATTATTGTTTGTTTGTTTGTTTGTCAGCTTGTGTCATGCAAATGAAAATGAAGCCAGCTCCAAGGAGAGCTTCTGTTTGCGCCGAGCATTATGGCTGTGTGCACATCCGGGCTTATTTCTCTGGCAGGGCTTCTCCTTTTGACGCCGCCAAATTGTCCAGGTAAAGTCAATAGATGGCTGAAACTGAAAAGAGTTCAAAAGGTTGGAGCAAACATCGCAGGGGGATTGTCTATCATGTGGAGGGGTCATGGAAACGGAAACAGGCTAGCTTTTTTGTTTGGTAATGACTTTTTTTCCCAAAAATGTAATTTACATGCTAAACAATAAAGTTTCTCAGAAATTATTTAATCAACTATTAGACTCTTAAGTTTTATAAAGATTTTACATGCATTTCTTATGGTAACTGATAGAAATTATCTTGTTTATGGTCCACTAGATCTTCAGATTCATAACCACCTATTTCTACTCACTTGTGTTTTATGACCTATTTGATTTTATCTAATGTTTAAGGAAGGAATTTTCAAAGTAATTACAAGAATGGGTATATTTTAAACTGCCTTTCATCATTAGTTAATCAAGATTAGAAAATAATTATATGTATATATAAAATATATATAAAATTGACATACATATAAATTCTGGAATAATTGTTTCCTATCATTCCTATAACATTGTCATTTTTAGAAACAGCCATTTACGGTTTCTGGTTTGAGTGTACTAAGAGCAAAAGCTAAAAACCCACTGAAATATCTGTTATGATTTT